ATTTGTTTCTTGTTTTTTTTTTTTTTTTTATAAAAAAAAAAGTCCAGAGCACAAAAACACCTTTACTTGTTTATCACCATTTATTCACTTCATATTTGTTAGTGTTTATCACCAATCATGGTAAATTGCAGTTCATATGAAAGCATGCATTATTTATTATTGTTATTATGGGGATTGCTGGCTTGCGGGGGTGTGGTCACCAACAGAGTCGACCCCGACATCCAGTGTAGGCAAATGCCATCCGTTAAGAGACTGAACGCCAGTGGGCGGGGCCTATGGTGTGATGATTTATAGCTATTGGTCGATGTCTTGCTCTAGAGGTGGTCATATGCAAATATATTTGCCCATGTGACATCACCGATCCCACAATATCAAAACAAGCTGTTTTTGGAGCTTGATTAAATAAATGCTTTCTTTGTAATGAGGAGGACATCTTAAGCTATGAAACTTGCAAGATGTTTTAATGGTACAAAGACCTCTTATATGCTAAAAGTTCGAGGCAAATTTGATTTCCAATGTCATGACCCTTTTAATTATTAATTCATTAGCTCTGATGCATACTTAACATCTTTGGGACAAATGTTTTTCTGAGGATAAAATTACTTTTTGACCAAATCATGCATTCACTTACTTTGTGACTATGGGCAAGCAAAAGCAGTTTAAGAAAGCTACATTTTGGTCTGTTTTTTATGGTTATACAATCTATATTGTCTGTCTTGTCGTTTGTAGAGACAACCAGGATAACAGTGAAGAGACCATGGTGTGAAGAAGAGAGAAGGGCAGTAAACAAACGTCTAGCAAGGTTTGTGGCAGAGCGCAGAGTTCCTGGAAAAGCAGACTGCATGAAGTGCCTAGAAGAAGAAAAGGTCCTGAAGGAACGCTCTTGGAAGGATGTTAAGAACTTTGTCTACAATACAGTTGTTGCTATGAAAAGGAGGTCTGCTTCACGAATGCTTCTGTTTTAAAAGCTACAAATCATGTCCTGTTGTTCTGTTGGCCTTCATGTTGAGAGGCTTGTTAGTGTTCATTTCTAACGCTTGTTAGTGTTAACCGAGCTGGTCACTGGTTCATCAAATTACACCAATTAAAGAAGTAGACTGTTTTTGAACATCAATCTGAAAATAGCATTTTTTTTGTATTTCTCAGGCAGCTTTATAGTGATCAACAGGAAAATGCTTAATGATGCAAACAGAAATGAATGTAGTTGTAAAGATGCTCAGAGTCATTACTCAGCTGATGTTAGTTCAGTTCAATAATGACTCAAAGCTGTCCACAATAAAACAAATAAATAAATAAAAATAATGTACTTAAAATAATTCAGTCAGAAACGAACTCAATAGCGCCCCCATGAAAATGTCCTCACTCAGCTGGTAAAACACTGGTTACTTTTCCTTTGTTTTTTAAATAAGCCAAGGTGAAAATGTGAATCATGGAGACACCTAGTGTTGAAATATAGTATACATTTACCTGTAGTTGTGGCAGAAATGGTCCTCATTTTGCAGGTTAAATTACTCGGCCCTCACATTGACTGTCATACAGGAATGTGTGTGCGTGCGTGTGTGTGACAGTGAGTGACACAGTCACTACTAGGGATGCACCATTACTACTTTTTTTAAAGATAAGTACAATTACAGATATTTACTTTCTGAAGAAAACAGAAAACACTTTTTGTACTGCACTGTAAACAGGGTCAGAAGTTAGTGGGATTAAAGATAACTTGTATGAGGCATTTATTACCTTTATCGAGGACTTTAGGGATAATAGACAAATATGTATAAAGAAGTATGAACATATGCACACTTTTACTGCTGCTCGTTCTCGTCTTTCTTGATGTGTTTGTGTTCATTTAACACTGAGGACCTGACATGTGATTTGGTGTGCTTAATCTAACCCACTAATACAACAGCCATTTTTTTTATGATCAGAGAACCTTTTGGATCCCAGCCTGCATGCACGATTTGTTTCATGTGCCAGTAATGAACTGCCCAAAGCCCTGCGTAAGTTACAAAGCTTTCTGAAGATTCCAGACAACACAATGCATAAGTGGAGCAAGAGTTTGATTTCATAGTTAATGGTTTTCATTGTGTGGGCTGATTTCTTTTTATTATGTTTTAGAAAACCTCAAGGAAAATAGCGACAGCAATGGTCTGGACCACTTCCTTGGTCTTCTTGGGGGGTTATTGGTTGGCTCCTCTGGCCACAGGCCAGGTGTCATCCTCAGCCTCACCACAGAAGAAGTCATCGACTCTAAAGAGGGACAGGATGGCCACGCCATTTTTGTAAGTGTTATTAACTTTTTTCACATTTGTTTCTTTAAATATATAGTCGTATACTTATTCATAATTATTTTACTGTGCAGGTGAAAATCCACAAAACGAGCAGGGCCTTTGGCCATGCCATATTAGCAGTGACAAAACAGGAGTACTAATACATGAGCATGTGCGTCTGGTGAAAAGTGGGTGCTGACTTTGGCAGGCCCATATGTACCCACACTTTTGAAAAAGCCTTGAGGAGGCCTTTGTACAGCCCACCCTTTTATGGCCCTAAGGACCTCAGTGTCCACACAAGTAAGTGTAAATTGTGATATTGATTATTGCGTTGGCTGATAATATTAGCTAGTATAAGAACTAGTATTGAAGAAGATTCAATGCATGAAAAGATGTATATCTAGACTAGTGCAATCCTGTATACACCAATGAATTTTGGCAGAATCCAGGAGTATTACTGACCAGTCATAATGATACCAATTTGAATGTATAAAGGTGTCTTTATTCAGCCAAGTTAAGGCTGCTCTGTGCCAGCTCTCTCTCTCTCTCTCTCTCTATAATATATATATATATATATGAGTGACGTTTTCGAATTAGTAACGGAGGCTTCAGCTCAGCTGTTAAACTGTCAAACTGAGATTTGAATATGTGGCGGAAGGAAGTATTTCCCCACAAAAGGGTTTTTAAAGACACTCCGTTGTTGTTTTTCATATATATTTACACTTGTGCCGTCGAACTGTTGTATAAACGCAATATCACTCTGGTACTCGAGTGATACCGGCTCACAGCTAGAGGACGGCCCCCACCCCTCAGGAATAATAAAATACTGAATAATAAAATGCAGGAATTTTCTTAGTCAAAATGTTTTACAACATGTTAAATAAAGAGTTGAAGACAGATGGAAGAATGAATGCTTGTGGCCTTCAGTCAAACATGTTGTAGGTTCTGTCCTGGTTTAGGGCTGCATTTCTGCCAGTGGTGTTGGCCATATTGTCTGAAATGATGGGCCTCCACAGAGTCCAGACCTAAATATGGGATCAGTATGGGATCACATGGACAAAGAAAGAAATAAAAAACAGCCTAAATATAAAGAAGAACTCTGGGAACTGCTGAAAAGCCTGGTATTACATGACACATTATTTCAGAAAACTTCATGAGTCTCCTCAAAAGAGTTGAAGTTGTGCCAAGGGAGGTCACACTAAATACTGACTTTTGACTCAAGAAGCTGTTTTGTTCTGAAAATTCTGTTCTTTTGTGTATGCATGTGTGTGCATATTTCCTGTTTGTACCTTGATAAAGACACTGTAGATAAATCCAATTTTTAATTTTCCATTAAGAACAGATTTACTGTCGGAACACATTTGTATGCACTGATTTTTTTTCAGCACCATGGCTTGTTGGAGGTGCGTGATTTGCTTCGTTGTCGTTGCCTTAACTTTGAAGTCTCTGTTGAGCCATATCAACACAGCACATAGTCGCAACCCAGATTTCTGTCTTATATGTGGAATTGATGGGTGTCCAGAAGAATTCTGAGTATTCAATTCCTTCTACTACCACGTCAGACGCTCACATGCTCTGTATCTTACGACTGGGCAGCCAAACACTGGATGGATGACGACAGCTGCATCTGAGCCATCTAGAATTGGAGGTGAACATTTTGACATGCCAGTGTTTTTAGACTGTACCACTCAAACAAGAGGGATGCAGAGGACCAGCAGTGAAGACACACCGGACACCCCAAATGAAATGTCACAGCAGGAGATTGAGGATTTTCCGATTCAAAGTCCTGATCATAAGGTAATGTTGGTGTTTTTTTCATGATAATGTTAGACTGCTATAGAACACTTTATTTGAAGTAGTCTGGACTCTAATTATGTATTTGTGTGTCTAGGAAGAAGCTTCATCAAGTGAAAATCTTACCAGACGTGCAGATGCATTTATTGTTAATGTCCAGGGAAAATTCCACCTGTCCCAGGTATTCCACTGCATGTGATAAATATTATGTTAACATTTTTATAATTTTATTTAAAAGAGAGTTCACTAAGATGAAAAACATGTGATCATTATTCGCCCTCATGTTATTCTACAGTCTGTCTGACTGACTTTTTATCTGAAGAATACCAAATAATATTTTCATTTAATTCCCTATTCTGAGGTGGAAATACAATTAAAGTCATTGGGAAATCGGATCTCTTTGGTTACCCACATTCTTACCGTTTGTGTCCTACAAGTCATACATATTTTGAATTCACGACGTGAGGGTGAATGATGACAGATTTTTCTTTTTTTGAGGTTGGCTATCACTTTAACACCCCTTTCAATGCATCAAAATTAATATAATTTTAATATTAATGTTTAATGGTAAATGTACATGTCATGAATACATTTTTTAAAAGGTGCAATCACAGCAAAATACATCAGTTCTATCACAAGTGCACAAACTCATGTATGTGTGTGTGTGTGTGTAAAATGCACACTATTAAGGCTACTATTGTCTTTCAGTATTTATGGGGGGGGGGGGGGGGGGG